TAGTAGAACATAATAATACACGTAAGTCAACATTTAATTACAGTTTGATGGCATATGAAATCTATACACTTGCATCGTTACTCATTGTGATGACTCACAGTTTGTGCTATTTATATCTTCTCAGAAACTGGGAAGGTCAGAATTTGGTCCACTTCTGTAAAATAAGAACAGAATTATGCGTGAAATCTACTCAACATTTGATTATACTGGTTAGCACTTGAAAATCAGTTGACGTGATTTAGAAAATACAGAATTTAACATTCGGTAAACAGACCTCCATGGATAAATGAAGTCATAATTGGGAATTCAGAGATTCAATTGAAAATAGATGGATTGTGTTATATGTTTGGCACAAAGCCATTTCTGTATACATTATACTCATCTTCACATTCATGCATCTCACAGTCATTGCTAAATATTGTTCATTCAAATTAACGAATTGATAAGACCACATGTTTAAAGCTATTCATTTCTCATCTACAACACATAAACACTAAGATCACGGTTATTTGCTCGTTCGCAATATCCATATGGTAGGCAAACAACTAAATTATCAAATCTGAATTGTAAGAAACACCTCATAGCTTTGATAATATGTACTTGGAGTTGATTGCTTCAAGTGGAATTTTAGAAAGTATTACATGTATGTGAATACCTCTTCGACTGTCAGACCTTGATTAAAAACTTGGTGATTTATTGTTTCAATAATAATACAATACTAATACAGCTTCACAAACCAGGTATTTGACATTCGTTTTGATATATGCGTGCTCGTTTCATTCACGTGACGTTCACTTGAATATATTTATTACTAATTCAACTGATATGAGCATTTGTGATATCACAGTAAATATCCACTGAAATCAGATCACTTTATGAGATGGCACATTCGGCGTTACATCTTACAGTAACTTGCACATTATTTTTCTCCTAAATCCTAAGTGCTGATAGTCTTCTCACTGTAGAGTTTACAGCCAAGATAACCAATCTGATCGATCGGAATGGAAAGATATCATTCTATTATGAAAACGTAAGTTGCTTCATAAAATTAAAGCATCATTTTGCTTCAGGTACTTCAAACTATTTTGTTAATTCATGTTTATAAATGCTGTCGAGTCTAACAAGATATATTGGACACGATAGAAAAGGATCACCATTCTGACATGTGCAAACATACTATTTGACACTAATTATTGCTTTAATGACACACCTTATTCTGACACTTGTTAAAAACATTGATAATTTAGAAGTGAATTGCTATCACAAGAAACAATGATGTGTTCCTGTCGAACGATAACAAATATTATATGTTAGAGTACTGCATGGAAAAACTCATAATCTATCAAGCCTTATTTCATCTTCCGAAGATCAACTGTTCGAATCATTCACTATTTAGTTTTCTGATTACAGCATGTTTGCAGTTATCCACGATCACATTTCATCTCAATTAACGTAGATATTGATGTCGCAGTACGCCACCTGATTTCATGATGCAAGAACAGTTAATCAAACGTGACTAAAGTTGACACCTGAAATAATTCAGAATATCTATGTACACTAGATGATACATACTTCGAAGTAAACTGACAAAATAAGTACGTTTAGTGTAAGTGCTATTAGTTGTCTATGAATAAGGTAATCTGAGTGATGGCATAATAATTCAAGATGAGTGTGTACTGATATAGGTGTTTATGAGTTGATAGATTATGACTCACACTTCTAATTCTTCGTTTTAGATTCCCACAGAAATAAACGAAAGCAAGTGGAAGTCGGCTATTTCAGTTCAGTTCACGTGTGAAACTTTTGAAGACACACGTAAGAAATATTTCAATTAATGTTCCTAACATTTTGATGTACGGTAAAGTGGATCATCAATGTTCCGTAAGTGTTCTCAGTCATGCCACCACTCAATGCAAAATGAAGTGGGCATTGTATGAAACAGAAATAAGACAGTGTTACTTGCAACTGCTATTTGCTTTATAAAATGCTCAATCAACATGCTTCACTGAAATAATTATGTGTTGTTGAAAGATGAAGCTGAGTTTCATGAGGAACATTGAGTGTAAGTGACTAGGTTTGATACATTGTTTTATGAATGAATGTGAGAAAATGGCTTAGATGTTTGCTTAAGTGGTATAAGTTGATCGGTTAAAATGTGTTATCGAGTCTTTAATCAGTGAAGATAACTTGCATTTTTGCACTGTTTGTTTGAATTCACGCATTGGAGTTTGGACTGCAATTGATCAATCTTTTGTTGATGTACATGTACCCTGTGACGATTGTCTCGATTTTGTGTTAAGTCACAAGCATTTTATGCAAATATCATTAGTCCCTAACAGTGGAATCCATTGCAGTCCCGAACATCAAAGAAAACATTCAATAAACAATACACGAATGAATTAAGACTTCACCAGATTGCTCAAACCATTATGTAACTGGATTGAGTAACTAAGTGTATAACGGGACGCCGTTTGAAGCGAATAATACTGGATTCGTGTTCCATGGTGAACATCAACCCTGAGGTGCAGGTATATTCAGCTAACAGTCCCAAATAGAACGAAATGTCACGCGTCCGTGATTTCATTAATAGCCACCATTCTTCTTGTGTTCGTAAATTTATATATTATCAGATTGTCATTTGAAATTCGAAACAATTTGTAGTCAGTTAAACGTTTTTTTTTGAATTTCCTGGACTGATTTCTGCGTAGCACATTTCACAAGCCTACTGATTATTGATTACTCTCGAATTTGAGAGTGCTGTATGGCATAATTACTGAGGACGTTGGAAGATCACCACTGAATTCTTAATGAGAGAGTTATAGTATTTTTTATTTTAACCGTTCCTTAAATGGCGCAAGAGACCTGTTATACATTAGAAGAGAAATCAGAACTTTAATTGTCTTTTTCTGTTCACACTACTATAATAGCATATGAAATATCTGTTTCTGGAAAATGGATCAAAAGCGGCACGTTAGTGGAGCATGAAGCCATCGGGAGTATGTTATAACTTACACAATTAGCATGAACTGTTCTCACACTTCAATATATCATTTTGTTACATCAACTTTTCATATGGTACTCAAGTCATCTGTTGAATGATATTTAAGCATCTGTTTGAAACGACTTTTCACTTACCATTAGCAACTACACGTCAATTCGTTGTCCGGTACTAAAGATGATTAAGGACCCATTTTGAACTAACACTAAGTTTTCACTTTGATGAAATTCACCCAAAAGTATGTTCACAAAACGATATAAGAGATGATATTATTTCGTAAAATATTGAGTGTCATTTGTTTATTGTGTACTTACGAGGGAGAACTCTGCCTGGAGTTCCTCCAGGGGCTACTACCGGTTCCAAGCCCGGATAAAGGAGGAGGGTTGAGCATGGGGTTAGCGACCCCATCCCGTAGAAAACTAACTCGCTAAAAAAACGCTAACCAGAGAAAAGCATAAACTAACAAGGAAGAGTCCGTTTTTTCTTTTGGTACATGTGATATCAAAAGTTTATAAGGCATTGAAATCACAAAATCACCCCATGAGATCAGGATTACCTTGTGAATGATTGCCCGAAAAGAAAAATCATCGCTTCGTCATACATATCCAATGAACTGAGGGAATAGTTAAGTCACTTCTTCAAATTACAATTTCTCATAGACACTTTCAGAATTCATTTCGCAGTATGAAAATGTGTTCGTTACCATAATTATGTACATTCGGTAACCACAAATGATTTTTTTCAGTTCATCATGCGTTAGATTATTGAAATAACATTTTGAATACTAAAAGAATCATTCCATGATCTAATGATCAGAATGCCTTCAATGTTCGTCGAATAAAATTTCACTTTTATCATCGTTGTAATTTCATTGATCCAACTAGACTGATGAATTACTTGACAGTACAACGGACTAGAATGCAGCCGTTTTCATCGATATCTTCCATTATAGTAGGTCGATTGAAATCTTCTCAAGAAAACTGTAATTGGTGATTGGAAAAACAGTGTCACTCGATTGATCAATGATTGATTGAATCAACAAAATTGAAAAAGAAATTTGTGTCTGAGAACAACTGACTTTTCTATCACTGATCTCAATCATAAATCTGACGTCATAGAAAGAAACGGTACAACAACCTCATTTCAATGCAGTATGCTTTGCTGAAATCAGTGACTGCATCCTGCGTACACATGTCTTTACATGAAAAGTTTACTGAAATCCATCAAATTCACTTGTCGAAATTCATCAACCATACTGGATATTCAAAGAAATCCATTCAGTTCAAACATGCTGTCATGAAATAAGAGTGATGACAATCTTCCAATGATTGAAATGGTCATCTATTTCAGAAATCACTACTATATAATTAAGTTGTTGTTACATGTTTTGTAATTCTCCTCTGTTTTGTTTGATAACTCGAAATGAAATCAAATTATTCATTTCACAGGAACGTGTCCAAAATACAATTCAACTGAACTATGTCAAAACTCAACAACACCGAATACAACATGTATTTGGTGTGAAAGAACTCATATATGCATTGATAGTAATGATCAGAATACTCATGGCATGAAAGTAATTGATTGTCATGTTGAGGTAAGTACTTATTAATGTTCACAGATCATTTTCAATATCACTTAATTCCACATTACGAGCAAATGGATTTGCTCGAAAAAACACTTTATTGCTATGAATATGAACTGACTTGTATCCTTTCCTCAGTGACCGAATTAAAGCTTTGTATAAGTTGACAATATTTAATCAGATATCAGCACAATGTTTTCTTTCCGTGGGAGCGATGGACAAAAGAATCGAAGCGTCGCTTGCCATCTGTGTTTGAAAACATAAAACATTTTCAACTCATTCAATGTATGGCTATTTCAGAAATCCAACGTGAAACTGTATATCTGTGTGGATTGTTACGATATGTCGATGAAAGCAGTTAAAGTGAAGAGCCGTAACCTGTTCAAAATTGTATATCATGTATATCATGTTAGTTTACAGACTCTCATTGCTGAAGCCCAGAACAAAGATTTCTGATTCTCTGTTGAGAAGCATGTAACCTGAATGAATTGCTTCAAGAAAGACGTCAATTATAAGTTTATCGGTTTCTAATTAGATTATTATTAGATGTGACATACAGAATACTATTTTCATCAAAACAGTGAGACGAAAATTAGTTATAGGATAGTGTGTAATTAACTTACTGACTGTCAAATCGATGGCAGATGTCCTAAATGATTGCACGAATGTAAATCGTGCACCTTCATGTCGAATGCTCTCCTGTCAATCTCTTCTGACACTAATGTATGGTGAATATTATATAATTATAGTAGTATTTGATATTTATTCATTCAGATAAGCTCCAAAGTTAACAATTTGAGCACACAAATACCCGTGAAACACACTGAAAGGACTTCGGGGATGACTGAAGTTCCGGTTACGGGAAATCGCAAGAAAACAACCGAAGGAACTGATCAATACTCGGTAAGTATTTGATATTTAGTAATAGATGCTACTGCCTCTTTTGTTCAGAAGAGCTCGGATGTTGGTGATTTGAGTAGACCAACAACCAACAATCACAATGAAAAAACTCTGATCATCACAGCCCCTCAAGTTAGAGAAAACTTCAAGGAAATCACCGTAGAAACTGATCAATACTCGGTAAGTATTTGATATTTAGTAATAAATGCTACTGTATGCTTTTTCTTCAGAATATGGTAACCGAGATAGTCAATGACAATGAACAGAACAAATCACTTCAGTACATATACATTGTGATTTCTTTAGTTGTGTCCTTCATTGCTGTCTGTATCGGTTCTGGTATTTATGCATGTCTGTATAAAAAGAAGAAAAGTCATTTATGATCGACAAAGACGTCTTACAACTTGCTTCTATTACCTCGACCAAGCTTTTCTATTTGTATTTTATTAGAAAACTTTGTATTTAATTATAATATTATAATATTGGACAATTTCTTTATAAATCTATTTATACTCTTATGCTTGTTTACGTAATGTCCGACGAAAGATAAGGGCGACGAGCCGGCTGGACAATAATGATGGCGGCTGTTCTTGCTACCCAACAAGCCGTCTCTTTCATACAAGTGATCGTATTTCTGGCTTGGACGTTTTAGTCGACACAGTAGCAGAAATCAGCACTGCCCCACTCGAGCTATCACGATGGCAACACACCTGAAACAGCTAAGTGTCACTCCAGGCGCCCAAACAAACAGTTATCATGACCTATGGAGGGAAAAGCAGGATTCTCCGATACAACACAGCATGCACCAATCCAATCACAATTGATGGAGAAGATTTGGAAGATGTAAAAACCTTTACATATTTGGGCAGCATCATTGATGAACAGGGTGGATCTGATGCAGATGTGAAAGCACGGATCGGCAAAGCAAGAGCAGCATATTTACAACTGAAGAACATCTGGAGCTCAAAGCAGCTGTCAACCAACACCAAGGTCAGGATTTTCAATACAAATGTCAAGACAGTTCTACTGTATGGGGCAGAAACCTGGAGAACTACAAAAGCCATCATCCAGAAAATACAGGTGTTTATTAACAGTTGTCTACGCAAAATACTTCAAATCCATTGGCCGGACACTATTAGCAACAGCGCACTGTGGGAGAGAACAAACCAGATCCCAGTGGAGGAAGAAATCAGGAAGAAGCGCTGGAAGTGGATAGGACACACATTGAGGAAAGCACCGAACTGCGTCACAAGACAAGCCCTCACATGGAATCCTGAAGGTCAAAGGAAAAGAGGAAGACCAAAGAACACATTACGCCGAGAACTGGGATAGCGTGTGATGGTTCGGATCCCTACAATCGCAGGCCTCAGATCTTGGATACAAACCACCCTGATGTGGTACACTAACTCGAGCAACAAATACAGCACGTTCTTCTCGAGGGCAGTCTTTGATTTAAGACCTTCGACTCCGTCGATGTTTCACGTGGATTTTCACAGCCGGAAAATTAAAAAACCTCTAATTGGAGCTGACTTTCATAATTTCTTTAATCCCCTGGTGGACATGAAAGAAATGATGGTCAGTAGACAGGAACATCCATTAATATGCAAATGATAACACCACCAGTTGTGAGATTTATGGTATCCGAGCGGTTGAACCGATACATGAGGTCTTTATTGACAAATTCTACAAACTTGGCTCTCTAATCTGTACCGAGTCCCATCTCCGGTTGATCTAATATATCTGACACTTAGCTGTTTGAGGTGTGTTGCCATCGTGATAGTTCGAGTGGGATAGTGCTGATTTCTGTTACTGTGTCGACGAAAACGTTGAAGCCAGAAATACGATCACTTGTATGAAAGAGACGGCTTGTTGCGTGGCAGGAACAGTCGCCGTCATTACTGTCTATCCGGCTCGTTGTCCTAATTTTTATTACTGGGTTTTGTGAATGTGTACGGTATTGTGCGGTGCCGCGCCTTTGTATCATATTTCTGGTGGTACCAACAAATTCCTGTAATCTGCTTCGGTGATGTAAAACGTTGATTTGAGAGTGATTTCATTCTGGACATCGACCTGGATCGCTTGCATTGAACTGTTGCTTTGGTTGCCTGTAATGATGCCAGCTTATTTAACATCTCAGTTAACTGTAGTTGTAATGTGATTATGCTCTGCCAACATGTTGTATCATGTTTACACTGTGGCTAATTGAATAGATCTCCGTTATTTTGTCGGCCATACGTGCCAAATCTTCCACAGTCATTGAATTCCACGACACACCAAGAATATTTCCGACACTATGTCGTAAGCGTTGTAGCCACATTTGTTGCTGTGGAGCTTCATTTAATTTATATGTGCCGGCTACTTACTTCATGTGTCACGAACGTTGCGACGGTTTCCAGTTCTCAGGTCATATGCTGTCAACAGTTGGTGTAGTCTGCTTTCATCAGAGTCTGATTGACGATGTATTACTGCTGCTTTTCGTTTATCATATGTCTGTAGTTCCGGCACTTGGTCAACCAAGTCGGAGATGGCGCTCATTACAAACGTATATTTTGTTGCTTGAGAAAGGATTTCCTGAGATGTGAACTGGGCTTCTACTTGTGCAAAGCAGTCCTTTGTGTTATTGGCCGCATACACTGGTAGTCTGAATTCCATTATAGCGTTGCCGTGCTTACAACGAAATATGACGAGCTAGGTAATGATGCGAGAGCATTTACAATGTATGGGAAGTAATGAATGAAATGCAAATAGTGTCGAAAACTAATTACAAAATAAGTCTGTCTCGATTTTCTCCACAACATATGTTCGTTATCCGAATTGATGCTTTGTTCTGGAATCTCATGATGACATGTTTTCATTTTAATGAATCTGCACTGAAATGCATGCTCATTTGTTAAACAGAAACAAACTGAACCTCTGCCTGGTAGTATAGGAGATACTGGTTCCAGAGAATTTTGAACCCTGTTACAGACTCACTCAGATTTCAAGATGTACAAACCCACAAAAAGAGGCCCAATTATTCATAACCAGTTTGTTAAAGAGCTCGAACACCCACACTTAAGGTCAGGGATGATCTAGACACTAATATCGTTAGATTCCGGCTCAGTGGTCAAGAGGTTGAGTGTTTGTGAGCCAGACCGTCGAACCTAGGTTCAAGTCCCTTGAGCCGAAAAGTCCCATACCAAAATGAAAAGGTCTTCCAGTGCCCTCAGCTTTCCAATGTTAGTCTAATGTTGATCGATACATGATCTCACCTAAAACTCAGTAATTTCAAAAACCCTATACTGACAATCTATCTATACACGTTGCTAAGAAATATATTGCATATTGAACACAATAACGTCACTTCAAACATTTAAAGAGGAAATAATTTCGGAAATCAATATGGTAGAGATGGTTTTCGATGTTAGTTACAGTACAGTAGAGGAACTGGATATTGAACATTTGTAATCAAATTAAACGTGACGTTTAGTGTGGTGAGTTATTCTTTGGCTGACTGAAGTTGGTTTCTTTATATTTTTGGCAAAAGAGTGCAATTCTCCGAATATGTGCTGAGAATTCTATATTGTACCAAAATATAATATTGAATAAAGCCATTAATAATAATAATAATAATAATAATAATAATAATAATAATAATAATGTGTAGTTTTTCTTGACAGTTCTCATAATTAAATGTCTGTTTATAAATGAAAGCAATCGAAGTCGAAATACCTAAATGTCTTCCAAAAGTGCTCATGTTATTCTACTGATGTTTGTCATCATTTATGCTTGCCAGCCATATGTCGTTTATATGGTCATCAACTGAAATGAAATTAATGGCGATAGTCTGTGGCAATAATTTTATGTCGACTATGGTTGACAATTTTACGAAAATAAACAGTAGATTTTTCAACAGGATGTTTATTATGGCTAATCGAGTGTTGAAGATCGTGTTGAATTGTCTATTTCAGTATGAATGTTCTGAGGCTACAACAACTGAGCGACCATCTCATATCATCTACCCGGAACAGGAAGTCGTTAGATATATAATCCTCATATTTTTTACCACTTCAAAAATTATAAGATTTTGCACGCCGTTTGATTACTGACTTTCCCAAGGAGATATAATCAAACATGGTTGGATGACTATTTGGTGTACACTTAACTGAAGTATCAACTCCGCCTGTAGCTCTAATAGGGTTACTGCCGGTCCCGAGCTCGGGTAAAGGAGAAGGGTTGGGCATGGGGTTAGCGTCCCCATCCCGTAGAACACTAACTCGTTAAAAAAACGTTGGAGAATACATAGATCTTCCTATATATGTCAATTCCACCAACGACAGAAGAAATCAGAATGGCCGTCAGACAAATCAAGAGCGTGAAAGCAGCAGGACTCGACAACATACCAGCTGAAGCACTGAAGTCAGACATCGAAGCAACCATAAGCATGCTTTATCTTCTATTCAAAAAGATTTGGGAGGAGGAACAAGTGCCGACGGACTGGAAAGAAGGACACCTCGTCAAGATTGCAAAGAAAGGAGATCTGAGCAAATGTGGAAACTACAGAGGCATTACACTACTGTCAATACCAGGGAAAGTCTTCAACAGAGTGTTGCTAAACCGGATGAAGGATGCAGTAGACGCCCAACTTCAAGATCAACAAGCTGGATTCCGTAGGGATCGATCGTGCACAGACCAAAATGCAACACTACGTGTTATGACCTTGGATGTCTGACTTTTCTATCACACGATTTATCTACCAATCCGAATACGACTTATACGAATCTTCACACTAGGCCAACCAATGACGTTCAACCGGTGTGGGCAGTTTAGCGTCCTTATTGGTCCTATGTCGTACGAGCCCTTCCACTTGAGTCCAGAACAAGATACCAGCTTCCGAATCAGAGCAGATCGCTTATTCCAGGCATACTTGGTTTATATATCAATCACACAGACCGCAACGTACCATAAAATAGGAAATAATATTTGTACACAAATAAGCCCGAAAAGTGGCTGTGAATGTGGGAGGCAGTAGTTAATAAACTGAACATAACTTAAGAACCGTAAATCGTACAATAATAAATTATAGATCAAAATAAAGCTTGTCATAAGAGGGGTATAAATATACATAATGTAATTGTTGAATAGTTATACAATAAGAATATTTATAGAATATTAGTCCATGAATAGTCCTCGGAAGTTAC